GGAGAGGCCACAACAGTGAGAGGCCCGCGTACCGCCAAAAAAAAAAAAAAAAAAAACTTGGGGTAAAGTTAAAAAGCATTGAGACAAGAAATACCAATTCTCTTTTTCTCTGGTGCAATGATCTCAGCTGCTATGCAGGAACACGTGCATTTAAAGCGTGACAGCCAGTCCAGAATAATTATTCATGAACGCAATGATCATTGCTTAATACAACCGCAAAATGGAGAATTAAACTGCTCCCTCATCCCCACGTTCTGCAAAGGGCAGTTTTGGTTAGATCTTTCCGAAGAGATCTGTTTTAAGGAAAGACGCTGTCAAGGCAGGTTTTTAGGCAATGCCTTGACGAAGCAGTGGGCGTGTTCTTGGCATTTGTCACACTGTTAGTGGGAAACACTCTGAAACCACAACCCCAAAGCTGCCAGGTAGTAAGCAAGGGGTTGATGGGCAGAACCAGCCCCACTGGCTGGAGACCAACGGCAGAGGTTCTTCAGACTTTAAAATATGAACAAGAACATTTCTATTCACCTGAGATTGCAAGCAGCATTTTCCTCCTGGCACCGAAAGTTGTAATTCCCAGCTCCTTCAGATCCTGATCTGTGAGAGTGAGGAATGTCTGAAGATCGATCTGTGGGTGAACAAGTCATCTATAATCAATATATTAAGTATCTTTCTTCTTCAGTATAAATTCTACTCATTGCTACCCTTATTTTATTTATTAATTACGCTCTGCCTACTTTCAAAAAAGAATGGTGGGGACAATACAAACCTAAGGGACAAGAATTAAGTAATAAAGGTGGTAAAATGAAAGTGATGATTCTAGCAGAAGACTTAATCTAAGCCAGTGATTTACTGCAATGGAGATACAAACTTAGGCATCCTAAGGTCTTAGCATCCTGGCAGCCAGGGCAAAAAGGGAAACAGAAATTGCACAGTTTTGTGATCTGATGAAAGGAAGAATACATACTTGTCCAGAAGAGAGAAAATAATTCTTAGTTTTAGATTCTGACTTAAGTATATCTCCATAAAAAGAGACTGAATAATACCATAAACGGTATCTTCCATTGTGTTCTACATAAAAATGATAGCAGAATTCACAGTCTACCTCAGACCCATGACTCACTTTGCTTAACCCAGCAGACTATCTCTGAAAGTGGCATACATGCAGTATTTCTAGCAACAGTATAAATGTACTTCCTGGCAACAATGTGTGGAGGGGAAGTAGCCCAAGAATCCCACCGTTCCTTGTGAAGACTGTGTGAGGAACAGAAAGGCAATGGGCTCTGAAGCCAGAGAGACCTGGGTTCAGGTTCTGACTCTGCCATTACTAGTTGTGGGCACTGAGAGTTAACAATCCTATATACCTCACAGGGTTGTTTTGGGCCTCAAATATGACCTTAGATATAATGCAATGTGCTCACCAAAGGGGTAAAATAGTTGGCAGCTATAGCTAGTAATAATGAATACAGACATATCATCTGTGAAAGTTGCTAAATAAATCTTCATCCTGGTTACAATATATTAAATCTCACAAGGTTACTTAATGGGGGATTCTTGTTAAGTCATATCTGTAAATGAGAAAATATCCTACATAAAGGGAATAGTACCAAATTTCAACAAACCTGAAAACCGTAAAATATACTTTTTATTCAAATTATATAGAAATTAATTTGAAATTTTCTGTTTTGATTTTGAAGGTTACATCCAGATCTTGAAAAACCTTTTCATTTACCATTTATCACAAATCTAGAGCTATGTTTTTTAGAAATTCTGTCCAGTGGAGACTGTTTCAGGGGTCCTCAAACTCTTTTTAAAGGGCCAGAGAATAACTATTTTAGGGTTAGTGGGCATCCTGTCTCTGTCGCAACTACTCAACTCTGCTGGCTTAGCTTGAAAGCAACCACAGGCAATATGAGGCAATTGAGTTAGTGTGGCTGCGTTCCAAGGAAACTTGATTTACAAAATTAGGCAGCAGGTCTGCAGGCTGCAGTTCACTGACCCCTGCTCCAGTTAATATTAGATGAAGCCAGTCTGACTTTATATTATCACGTTGTCTTCCTTTTTGAAGTAACTAGATAAGAAGTACCCATAATAGATTTCTATGCTTCTTCAAATAGGAAATAGAGATTTAAAGCAAACCCAGAATATCACTGAATAACATCTCGTCACTTACTTCTAAAACCTTCTGTGCATGAGCAAGTTAAAATACCTCAGCCCTGAGCTTCTCAATCAGCCACCTGCATCTAACCAGGAAGACTAAATAAGTAAATGCAGTTCTTTAATGCACTGATGATGAACGTATTATTCAACTTAGAAAATCCTTGGTTACATGAACACTAATTTAGGTTTAGGGAAAAGAAAACAAAATCATTGTCCTAAAGTCCAAAATACACATGACAACAATTTTTCTTGGTGTTAAAGAAAAAAAAGTTCAGCAATTAATTAAGTTATGGGGCAATACATTAGATTTATGATATAAAGTGCCTTATAATAAAAATCTTAGCTTATCTACTGACTGATGCATGCCAGGGAATTACTGGCATGTAATCTAACATGAAATGAAGCCCAACTAGCATGAAACTTGGACCATGTCAGGACTTGAAAAGCAGATACATTTAGAGAACTATTCTAACTTTCTGTTGCCTTGAGTTAGCTGTGCCCTGGTAATATGACAACACAATTAGAAAGAACCACACTTAGGGGCTCTCTTCTTTATGCCAGTACGTCACAGCCACGGCTGATCAGTCTGGCCAAAATCCATGGTAGGGATGTTTCAGAAGACATCTTAGTTCTGCCTCAGTTCAGGCAAAACCCAAACAGTAAATTAATGAATAAGTTAACATGTATAAAAAGTGCATTATCTTCTGTGAGAACTTCAGTAACACGATTAGGATGGTGTCACAAACAACCATAGTTATTTATCTCAGACGCTGTTATTTACTCTTGAGTGCCACAAATAAAAATAAGAACAGATGAAAGAGTAAAATCTGATTAAATATAGAGTTGTTGCTGACCTTAGGGAATTTGTGAATCAAAAGTTCCTATAAATCAAGGCACTCATTAGGTCTTTTAGCTAAAACTGATGAAGGTGTTTTTGCAAACACAGCTTCCTACATTTCTGCGATCCTGTGTTTACCAGCTGCACTAAATAAGAAATAAGATGGCGACAATTTCCTTGGCAGCAAAAATAAGCTATGAGACTGGAATAAATGCTCAGTGAAAACACAGTCATAGGTAAATGAGTGATTTCATTCTAGAAGTCATCATACACACAACCAAAACAAAGATGCCTGGGAAGATAAATAAATAACCACCGACCTCTTGTTGCTGGAAGACGTCTGTGTATTTGCCCAGGCCCAGTTTGCTGAAGAGCTCAGGGAGGTCAGAGCCTTTGAAAGAGCTGTTCAGGTTACAGCCATTGCTTCCTGTCAGCGAGGAAATGCAGTCCATGTAGTTGCTACTGCTGAGATAGTGCTCCGCTGAAAGGCAGAGGAAAGACAGGCCTGAAGTGTAAATGCCCAGGGAGAGCATGGTTTAATTAAAAGTTTTAATCACTCAGATAGTTCAGATTCAGCGTTCTGGGCTGAACAGACCAGTAACTGCAGAAATGCAGCAGTCCTTTACTGAAACACCGGCTTTTCACTAAGGAAATGCTGGTTACGGCTTTCAGGGAGGCTCTCGCCATTTGAAAGGTTACACTTGGGAGGGAGCAATTCGGCAATAGGGCCTCCGTCGTTAATAATCATTAAGCATATTCTCCCTGAGCATTCAGGAACATTGGCTCTTCACAACTGATTTGATGTTAATTAAACGAGGAAGTGGAAGCAGGACCCCTAGGACACAATAAAGGTAAGGAAAGTTACAGGCTCCTTTTAGATGCAGGCTGGCCCTCTGTATCCACACTTGTGCTTTTCCGTGGTCAAATAAATACTACGATATTATCACATATAAATCTCATTTCCCTCAAACATAATTGGGCAGTGAGTTCATGAAATAGAGAGCTTCCAAAATTAAGAGTAACATATGAATGAAAAGAATGATGCTGGAGTTCCTGGATTTAACTTACAACAAAAACAAATCCATCTCCTGGGGGAAATTCTAAGACAGCCATGCCGAGCTTTGCCTTGGCTCTGCTACTGATCTGGTGGGCGAAGATTTCTCCATGTTGTCTGTGGTTCTCAGATCCAAGGACGTGCACAGCTGGGTGACAGACTAGTGAGCCACACCAAGTACTTGACCAAATATTCAAACACTCTTCAGGAGCTGCTTTGGAGAATCTAGCAGAGTTATGCAGCCGTTCCTACCACCCTGACCAACAACTGACTCTCATCCATGTGGAAATTCTATTCTCTTATACTAAAGGTGCAGCTTCGGGGGTATTCCCAGATTGATGAGGGCAAAGGACACTCACCTAGGTATCAGATCCATCTAATCTCCTCTGGGATCAGTGCATTCAGCAAATCTAAGAATTTTGTTCTGCATTGCACTGGGTGCCACTAATCACTTTCTCTGGTTGTTTTCCTCTCCCAATTGAGAAATCCTATATATGTTTCAACTGGAAGGAATTTCTTTTTTTTTTTTTTTTTTTTTTTTTTGGCGGTACGCGGGCCTCTCACTGTTGTGGCCTCTCCCGTTGCGACGCGCAGGCTCCGCGGCATGTGGGATCCTCCCGGACCGGGGCATGAACCCACGTCCCCTGCATCGGCAGGCGGACTCTCAACCACTGCACCACCAGGGAGAAGCCCGGAAGGAATTTCTTGATAAGGTTTCTCTTTCTTTTAAAAACAGGTATTTTATCTCTTGCAGGAAGAATGTGTAGGGCAAAGGACCCAGGACCAAGCCCTGATGCGCTGAGCCCTGGAACACTCCACCAATTGAAGGTAAGGCCCCAGAGTCACCAAGAAAGATTGAGGAGGAATGACCAGTGAGGTACCGGTTTGAGGGTGACACAAAGCAGAGTACGATGAGCACACTGGAGTGACCACTGGACTTGACAACACGGAGGTTACTGTCAGGCTGACCACATAATTTACTGTCCGAATGATTACTTTCTTCGAGGAAAAAAAAAAAAAAGAGGGAGTTACTGAGGAATTACAGTGGAACAACTGGTGAAACAGGGACACCCAGAGAAAACCTAGACACTGGTGACCTTGACATGGGTGTCAAGAAAACTTTTCTAAAGCTCTGTTGTTCAGTACACTAGCCATTGGCAACATGTGGCTGTTGAGCACCTAAAATGTGCTAGTGCGGATTAGAAATGCACTCCAAGTGTGAAATGCCACACACCGTATGTAAAGACAGTACAAAACAAAGACAGGGTAAAGTATCTCTACATTGATTACATGTTTAAATGATGATAATTTACATATGTTGAGTTAAGCAAAGAGATCAGCAAAAAGTGAAAAAAGTATTTTAAAATATACTTAGTGATAAATATTTATTATGGTACACAACTTTTTTTTTACATTTCATCTTAACTACTTATAGTATCTATATTCTCTTTTAACTCCCTAGGCCCTTAAACCATCGGACAAAGGCCAAGGAACAGTGCTTTTTTAATCAATCTTTTTAAATTAATGAATCCCCTATCTTAACTCTAATCCTGAATTTCAATGCAGCTAAGTCACACAGTCAATTTTAATCATCCAGGATTCAGTGCAAGGAAAGGGGATAAAGATAGAAGAAGAGAGGCACAAAGCTAATTGATGCTGGAGTATAAAACAGAGATCATTTCCACTCCGAGATGTGCACCTGGCACCAGCCTGCCTCTCAGCTCCATTGTCCTGTCAGCAGTAGAGGACCTAGCCCAGGACTAACAGGAAGACTCCAGGATACTACTGACAGTACGCCTGGGAATGAAAGAGTTGACCATGCTTTCTTATTTAGACTTGGCCGACCCCATGACTGGTCTTTTCAAATCTGAGACTCTTGACAACATGGCCCACTTGATTGATGGTAACAACTGGCTGTTACTGTTTACTAGGCTCATTTAGATTGCCTTTCTCCAAGTATTCTTCAAATACTCCAGGGTATGTGTTTCAGGAGTCCAGATTCATCAAAAACCCTGAAATAAGGTATTAGGGGAATATCTTGTGATTACTGTGTCAGTTCTCGTCTGTTTACCTATTTATACAGACATGTGGGTGCTGTTACAGACACAACCACTGGACTCATGCTGCATCTTAATCATATTTGTTCAAAGCCTATGCTTTAAACGTTTTTTTTCCTGATACTTTCAGTTAGCTACATCTTGTCATCTTGAAAAATCTTGCTGTTCACCTTTGGTAGCCAAAGGTGACTGGGCAGACTTCTATTGTCTAAGATACTAATTTGATCACATTCTGCTCAACTCCTTTACATCCCTGCCTTTTCCACATCATTCTGATGTTTGTGTGTGCATGACTCATTCGTATATTCATTCCACAAACACTTACCAAGCACCTACTAGGTGTCAGACACTGGTAGACATTTGAGAAGAAATAATAAGTTAAGAAAGAAGGCACAGCCTCCTGTTAGTGGGATTGTAAATTGATGAAGACGCTATGGGAAACAGTATGGAGATTCCTCAAAAAATTAAAAATAGAATTGCCATATCCAGCAATTTCACTTCTATTTACCCAAAGAAAACAAAAACACTAATTCAAAAGGATATATGCACCCTATGTCCACTGCAGCATTATTTGCAATAGTCAAGATATGAATGCAACCTAAGTGTCCATCAACAGATGAACGGATAAATAAAAGGTGGTGTGTGTATATATATATATACACACACACACACACACACACACTGGAATATTAGTCATAAAAGAAAATGAAATCTTGCCATGTGCGACAACTTGGAGGGATCTAGAGGGTATTTTGGTAAGTGAAGTAAGTCAGAAAGAGAAAGGCAAATGCTGTATGATCTCACTCATATGTGGAATCCAAAGACAAAAACAAAACAAAGTGAAAACAGACTCACAGATACAGAGAACAAAGGGTGGTTGCCAGACGGGAAGTGGGGGTGGGAGTGAGATGAAGGGGATTAAGAGGTGCAAACCTCCTTAGTTATAAAATAAATAAGCTACAGGAGTGTCACACACAGCGTAAGGAATATGGTCAGTAATATTGTAATACCTGTACAGAAACAAACAGTTACTAGACTTATCGTGGCGATCATTTCATAATGCCTGCAAATGTAAAATCACTAGGTAGTACACCTGAAACTAACATAATATTGTACACCAACTGTATTTCAATTAAGAAAAAAGAAAGAAGGCACAGCCTAAAAGAATGCTCGGCACATGGGCACTAAATAAGTGTTTATTGCATGAATGTAGTCCCTGACTTGTGGAGCTCAAATTCTACAGGAAAAGACAGTTATGTAAGTAAGCAATTGTACTTCAGTACGACAAATGCTAAAATGAAAGCATATACAAAATGCAGTGAAAGCAGAGAACCATGTGCCCTGCTTCACTGGAAAAAAACAGGGAAGGCTTCTCAGAAGAGGTGGCCTGTGAGTAATCCAAAACACTTGAAGGCCTAGAGTCCAGAGTTGATACTCGAACATTACCCTAAACCAGCTAAACAGATTCCAAGCTGATTACATCTAAAAGTATGATGAGAAGTCAGAGCTCACTTGATTTGTTCTGTTTACGCTTGGGGCTGCCAATAGAAGCTGCAAATTCACTATGACTTGCGGGTCCTATTCCATTTCGGTCTCTCCAGTTATCGGATTCGCTTCCACTTCCCAGGTGTTCACGACTGTTGGACCTCGAGAGGGACACTGATGAACCCTGAAAACAATCAAAGCCAGATAAGGAAATGTTTAATAAGGTAGGTTTCCCGGGCTGGGAGGAGAAAAGAATCCACATTAGACCACTTATCATTTATTTCGATTGCTGTGCCCACGAATGCTGATTCTCAGGAAGAGGCTACGGGACCTGTCTGTAGTCTTTGTCCTCCAGCTACCAAGGACACTTGGAAATACACACAGTGAAGTGTTTTTCCTTCATTATGAGGGCGCCCAGAGGAGTTCTGAGAGCCCCCAGTATAAAGATTCATTCCTGTAAGATTTAGAGGATTCCTATTTTGGGGAACAAGGCAAATCCTCCGTCTGGTATAGCAGAGATTCTCTGCCTTGTATCACACAGGACAAGTAGGGAAGCGGTGCAGCTACACCCAATGCTCTGACAGGAATTGAACTCCCAGGCTCACAAGAGTGGAAGGGTGGAGAGAAATCTGGCATTATGTCCTGTGTTAACTCTCATTCAAATAAGTACACGATCTCTCCAACAAATTACAAGTACCTGGAAATTTTAACTTTTTTAATTCCCCCAAATCAAAATAAAAATAGTAATTTAAAAGATCTCACAGTTTGCACTGAACTTGCATTTACTCATTCTTTATTTATTTATTTAATCACTGTATTACAGGTACCGTACTTTGTACTATATCTACAGTATTAAAGTTAAGATTCTCTGGTTCTAAAAGTTTTATGTTTACTGGGTAATTCCAAGAGAATCATTTACTCTTCAGGTCACTAAACTCACTTAATTCAATCCCGCAGCAGCATAACCACAGCTGACCGTACGGGGCTGTAATGCTTCTTTCTTCAGGGCATTATAATACCACTCTGGAGGCTTTCTACCTACCTCACTGTAGCCATTGTAGGATCTTCCTCCCCTTTTCTACTCCAAATGTCAGATTACCCTGGGACTTGGTCCCCGCATTCCTATCATCTCGCTCTACACTTTCTCCTTGAGTAATCGGTAATCACAACCTCTGTCAAGGCTTAACAACAGCCATGACTCAAATTTTTACCTCTGGGTTTGAATTCCCTACTGAAATTCAGCATCACAGAGCTGCCAATCTGACACCTCCATTTTACTGTCTCACAGGTATTTTAAACTTAGAGTGCTTGAAATCGTATTGTTGATGACCATCTCCCCAGCTGCACCCAAACCCACCCCTCTCCCAGAATTCCTAAATCTCAGTGGCGACCATTCATCCAGTTGCTCAAGCCAAACTTCAGAGAGTCATATTCGTTCCTTCTCCCCTCACTACATCCAATCTATCAGTTAGTTTTATCAATGTCATATCTAAACATACCCCAAATCTACCTACTTTTCTCCATCTCCACGACTGTCACCAGTAGCCTCCTTAATGGACATTTTGATTCTATCTTGCCTCCCACCCCAATAATCCATTTTCCATGAAGCAACTAGGTGTTTCTTTTAAATGCAAACTAGAACAAAATCATGCCTCTCATAAGCATAAAGTCTTTCCATGCTTTTCTAGTACTTTACCATGGGCTGAGGTGCTCCGTAACTGAGTCTCTGCCTCCCTCTCCAACCTTATCTTCAATGTTCCACCACCCCATCCACCTTCTGCTCCATGAACTTACCAGTCTGTTCTGACTTCAAGATGATAATGCCAGCTATTTCCCCGGCCTAATACTCTTTTCCTAGATCTTCACAAGGCTGGCCCTTTCTTGCCATCTAGGTCTTACCTTAAACATCATTTGCTCATTAAAGCCAGCTAGGACTACCCAATATAAAGCAGCCTCTGTTCACATTTATCAGGGACTTTTATTCCTTAATGCCTTCTTGTTAACTTGTTACATATTTCTTTCTACCCACCAAAAAGAAAGCTCTGTCCATGAAAGGAAGAATCTGTATTCAAGCATTGTATCTCTAGTGTCTAGAATTGTGTCTGAAACACAGAAGGTACTTAATAATAAATATTTGCAGAATACTGGATCTCACAGATACCTTTTCGTACATCTATGGGATCCCCTTTGCTGAACTGTGGGAAGGGGCATAGGGAAAGGAAGGCTCCTAAGACCAAATAAATGGTCTTTTTCAATTAAAACCATCTTTAACATTATACTTCAACCTATCCCACGAAGCAAGGGAAATAAGAACATGCTCAGAATTGGTAATTACCAGAAGCATTAATGAATTATTATGTAGTATTTCTATATATTTTAAAACTTCTGTATCTAAACTCTTTTTGAGTACAAAAAAACCGCTCATCTGAGATCTAAGCTGATTTAATTCACACAGCTATATCAGACCTGGCTAAACGATGTTTTCTAAAAACATTAAGTAAAACATAATCTTTTGATATTTATTACTTCGTTATCTACTAACTAGAGTATCACGAAGAGCAGCTCACCTCCACTCTTAGGTCTGTAAGACTTACAATAACCAGACAACCTCATTACTCTTAGTGCTGGGGAAATTAAAAACCATTTTTTGATTCCCAATGCAGGTTTTATTTGCTCCAGAGAATATGTAACCATTCCTAATGCCTTTAAGAGATGACTAGCAAAAAGAAAAGGAAAATCCCAAACCTTTTGTAGTTCTGTTGATGTGACAAAAATATTGCAGGTCAAGGAGCCTTTTGCTTGACCTTTGCTGTCCCAGTATATCATCAAGTGGATAGGGTCATACTTTTGAGTCTTGAAGAAAACAAAAATAAGCCTCAAGCTACCTAACTTCTTCTCTAAAGGAGCTCTTTGGAAAAGGCTAATTTCTGAAAAATGCCTTAAAACTGGAAACAGCTGCTCAAATCTGGTTTCTCAGAAATCTGAACAAGATGTTCAAAGCCTCGGTTTCTTGCCTAAAGCAAGCTTCCCAGCGCAGGAAACTCATGTGCCTTGATCCCAACACACCGAACAGCCCTCACCCATCAGGACCTACTGGCTAAGTGTGCTTCTCTAGAGCAGCATTCCACTTGTCTATTTGGTTTTGTTTTTCTTTGGAAAAGATTAAGGAAAAAGAGTGTTTCTAGCTACCCTCCAATTTAAAAATAGTGCTACAAGCAGAGATGTGGTCAGTCTTTTAATAAAAATTGTTTAAGTTCTCTTCACTTTTCCCCAGGTCCTTCTCAACCCAACCCTGTCCCTGTGTTCTAACCCAAAGAAACAATCTTCACTAATCGCCCAGTTTTTAATCCCTCTGAGCTGTAACAGAATAAAGAGAAGGGCAGCCACCTGCAGATAGCAGCTGCTTCAGAATATCAGATCACGCTGTGTAAGGGCCCTTTCACCTCCTCTCAATGGCTTTCGGATGCATGAAGAAAAGTTCAAGTCCTACACACCTGGAAGAATCTAGAACCATTCCCTAAGAAAGCTTGGTTATATTTCATCAGCAGCAGTGTTTAAAGGGACCGTGAATAAAAGCAGGTAACGTGGTGAATGCCCTTGCACTGATCTCGCTGGTTACATCCTCTCCCCTACCTTTCAATGTGAATGAGCTGTTAGACATTAGCCAGGAAGGTAGAACAGGCTAGCCCAAGAAAGCCAAAGCAAAGAAAAGCCACAGGAGGGGATTCAGCCACTGAGTCAGGACCCTGCACGTTCCTGCCCACAGAAAGTGGTCTACTTGTCCTTGGACAAGTGCCAGAACAGAAGAGTCTTTCAGCTTCTGACATGATTTCTGTGCCATCCCCCTTATGTTACGTCCCTGTAGAGCACTGTTTCCAGAAGGGAGGCTGCATCAGAAACAGACTAGACTTTTGCTGAAAATATGGATTACTGGTTCCTGCTGGCTCCCTCCCTGATGAGTTGAGATCCTGGGGGAAGAATTTGCATTTTTAAGTGCTCCAAATGATTCTTATGTCTTTTAAGGTACAATAACATGGCTCTAGAGCATTTATATATCGCCTTGCTATGTACCCTCTTGAGTTAAACCATTAGGAAGAGGAGTATAAAGAAACTTTTTAAAATGAATTCAAGTCCTCTCTCTGACAACTACTACCATGACCTCAAGTAAGACACTTAACTGATCTGGGCCCCTTTCCCTTACTGGGAGTTTATAGGTATCAAATACGCTTGTGGATGAAAATGTACCATATAAACCCACAAAAAAATAAATGAGTGTGATCTGATAATTATTACTGGCACATTATGTGTTCACATAACACTCTAAGGTATTCCTTTGGATATAAAATGCATATCTAGTTTGAATGTGCAGAAATACTTCCAATAATAAGCATTCATATATGTATATGAACACATCTTTCATCAGGCTCTTGGTTTTCTTCAGGGTAAAGTTCTTCAGTGGAAATAACAGTAGCTGCTAAATATTGCTGAGAACTTCCTGCACACCACGCTGAGCACTGGATGCCCTCTCCCACATCATCCTGAAACAACTGCAATGAGAAAATGGGCTCAGAGGTGTGAAGTCACTCATCAAAGCTGTACATGTGTCGGTGGTAGCTGTCAGGCCCCACAGCCCCTGCACCTGACAACTACGTTATTAGAATGATCATCATTTCAACCTGTCACACTACTGGTCTTTGAGAAGAGAAGTGAATTAGCATTTCTAAAGTGAAATATTTCATCTCTGAAACTACAGAAACACAATCAACCACCTAACACTCCACTCCGCCAAAGGTGAGGGTGAGCAGAATGGAAGGCTGCAGTATTCAATACACCAGTGGAAGCCTAAGAATTAGCACAGCAGTTTTAAGGTCTCTGCCAGTGAAAGGAGATGTTTATTTTCTCTCAAAGCTACAATGGCCGAAAGAGGGGTGTACCTCCTAGAGCCTCAAATTTTTCACAATGGCTCCTACATTCTAGCTGCTGACAGTAACTTCAATCTTTAAATACAGCCAGCTAGGTTGCTACTTTAAGTCTGACAATGAAATTCACAGGAGACTTTTCTTTTTAGTATTTCAATAGTATTTTCTTTTTCACTGACTCAGAGAGACAAAGGAAAAAATGTCATGTTTGCTTCTGCCTTTCATCAGCATTCTAATTTATTACAAAGAAAACGGGTGGAGAAAAGAAGGTCAATCTACAAATGCTAGTTATTAGACTAACCCTTAACCGCTATTTGTTTTTCAGCCTACAGTGTTCTGGTTGAACACTGTGATTCTTGGATTAATCATTTTCATCCATGTTTGAGTTTGCACAGCCTCACCAGTAGTGTGTGTGCATGTGCTCTAACTCCACCCCACTCGCAAAAGCCTTACAGCCAAAATCTGACACTCTCCAACTGAAAAGGCCTTGCCGAGTGAGTCGTACAGCCTAGCTGAGAAGCAAGGAACCCTGGATCTCTTCTCCACGTGGTGAGGATACCAGCTTCCCAGTCTCACCCTGAGCTACAGCCAACATCGAGGAAGCATAACCTTTTGGAGCTCTCGTTTGTGACACTTCCTGCTGTGTTCCTGGCACATCTGAACACACTGAATTTTTAACTCATATCTGAGAACTTGTTTTTGTTGTTGGATACTTGCCTTTTCCTCCTATGGTGGGCTTGCGAGTGATATCCTTGGATAAAGGGATTCTTTATACATTTTTTATGGAATGTTACATCTGTCCTTTGCTTAATCTCAGCCCTGCTCTATCACTTATGACACTCTCCCCCTAACAAAAACAAGTTTATCCAAATTTACACCTCCTTCACAGCTGATCAACAACTGTGAGAGAAGACGCATAAAAGTTCATAATATATTGGATTGTATCAATTTCACAGCAATACGTTTACAGGAATAGAAGTGAAAACAAATCACCATTAATAGATTGTCCTTATATAAATAGAGAATGGGAGAGGAGAGAAGATTGTTCTCTTCTGCTGAGAGAACAGACAGGAAGAATAGGTAGGGCATGACTCTACAAACCTCAAAAGTGGTTGTCATTGTGGGCTTATAGGACACATGGTTGGCCCTTCTCAGCTCCTTGATAGTTTCAGCGGGCATGGATTTAGAAAACCCGAGGCCACTCCAGGTATTTGTGGGTGTTCTGACCTCCGTCACCACCGGTTTCTTTAACATAGCTTTGGAAAACAGAACATAAAACAAATGCTTGATATTTTTAATGAATTTCTTAAATAAGATATTGATGATTATTGTTTCTTTGATATATGTAAAGAAATTATCACTGAATATTATTTCTTAACACAAAATGCCTTAAAATATCCTCATAAAACATTTTATACAAAGTAGTGGTAAACTTTAAAATGATACATTATTTCTTAATTGATCTAATGCTAATCTACTCAACCTCAACAAAGTTTGTGCAACTTGAACGTAAACATTCTGGGATTCCTTTTATGAAGGTCCAATTTCTCAGTTCAACATCAACACTGAAAAACCTTTTATGTGTTTACTGAAAAAAAAAATCAAAGTATAGATCATTAACGTGTCACATACCTTTGGTTGCTAATAGCTTTTTCTGTTCATAGTCAAATGCCTGAAAAAAAAAAAAAACCAGAAAATATCTTTATTGTCAGTCTATCCAAATGTTATGCCAATACTTCATGAAAAGATTTTGACTACAGCCCATGAATCTGCCTGGGGCAAACACTCAGCTCTGCACCAGAATGTGACAGTAATCCATGCAAGTCTGATAAACTTAAACATGTTTTCAAAACTAATTCATTGGGCTTCCCTGGTGGCGCAGTGGTTGAGAGGCCGCCTGCCGATACAGGGGACGTGGGTTCGTGCCCCGGTCCGGGAAGATCCCACATGCCACGGAGTGGCTGGGCCCGTGAGCCATGGCCACTGAGCCTGCGAGTCCGGAGCCTGTGCTCCGCAATGGGAGAGGCCACAACAGTGAGAGGCCCATGTACCGCAAAAAAAAAAAAAAAACTAATTCATTATAATAATAAAGTACTACTTCCAACTTTAAGTCATGACAGTGACAAAAGTTAGAAATTTTCCTTCAAAAAGAAAAAAATTCCTATTTACTATGAAATATTTGACACACCAGGACCAATATATGCTAACGTATAGTGAATAACCTAATAACAGTTATGCTAAGTTTCAAAATAATGCATTATCAGAATGCTTAAGCAGTACAGTAAAATTAAACCTAAATAAAAACCTAAATTAAAAAAATAAAACTTAGTTATCTTTTATTGCACAGGACTAGGATGGCACCATTTATTCTTCCCATTCACATTGAATAAGTGACTATGACACAGTCGGGTCTACATAGGGACCAAGGTAGGTCATTTTGAAGAAAGAAGTCCAGATATAGCTACATCTCAAATGCTAACCCAGGGTTCTCAACTCGCCAATTCAGGAACTAGCTTAGACTTGATTTAAGAATGTCTCTTGTAATAAACTATAACGGAAAAGAATTTTTTTTAAAGTATATAGATATATACATATATGTATGACCAAAATCACTTTGCTGTACAACTGAAACTAACACAATATTGTAAATCAACTATACTTCAATAAGTTAAAAAAAAAAAAAAAAAAGAATGTCTCAAAGGCCTATCAGATGGGTCAAGAACCCACTGGCAAGAGCTCTTTGGACCTTCCTCCCAGGAGGACTATACCATCATATGTAGGGTGTCCATATAATTTATGGTCTGAAACAAGATACTTCTGAAAGTGAAATATACTACAAATGATTAGGCCAAAATAATAAAAGTAAACAGGCTGACCTAGACCAACCAGAAGGAACATGGCAGTAAATTGGGAGAGTCAGATTTTTAGATAACACAGTTTGATAATGTTTTTGAAATCCTAGGTCTAAAATGATTCTGGGAGTTAAAATCAACTTGTAATGACTACTGTCTAAGGGCAAGATGTGGGGAGATGCTAAAGTTACTTGTTCAGTAAATATTTATTGAGTGCCTTCTGGCTAAAGGGACTGTGCTGCACTTTGTGTAAGAATATTATAATGAATCAAAAATAATCTATAGCCTCAAATCATATAGAGGCTTAGCAGGGGTGAGTAAGAAAAATAACCACAAAATAAATCAGAAAGTGAGATAAGTGTGAAGAGAGAGCTGGAGATATAGAAGTCCAAGAATGATCAGGAGACAGAGATCATCTTCAGCTATAAAGCAGTCAGGGAAGTCTTCAAACTATTATCATTGATTTCCTGGTGATTTTAAGAGTCACTTCTTCACTAATGGTGTAAATACATCTATTTAAATTGAAACTCTATCACCAAAAACATTTACATCCATCCTAAAAGAAAGGAACATGAAAGTGGTTCACTATAGGTATATACCCGATGGAAAAGACGAGAATCACAAGATGGATGAAAACCATAAAGGGATCATAAAGGAATTTGATACTTCTTAGATGAGAGAACTTTAATTTATAATAACTGAAAATAAATCTGCCAGAGAAAATGTAATAAATGTCTTTTTTCTAACTTTGCACTTTATTAAAGGCTATGGCTTTTGTAAAAAAACATTCATCTAAAAACTCTTGAAAATGTTCAAATGCAAAGGATTAGAAAAACAGACAAGCAGGATTGTACTGTAGTTTTCACTGGAATTACAGAAGTATGATTTAGTCCCATGAATTAATATCTTTGACATATCTGTGACAACTTATTTCTAGGATTTTGTGAAGTTTTTCCCTTTTTTGAAAGTGGGGGGATGGGAGATGATAAATCTCTTACTACAAAGTAGGTAAGTCTACCCAGTAATTCAGACACTGAAATCAAATGTTTAGAGGCATCTCTAAAAGCACAAAATCCTTATCTTTCATATTGTGGTCTATATGGAACAAATTTCTGAATTTCATGATCAATAGTCTATTTTGAGTAATTAGCCTAATACTTCCAAAATGGATACAGAGAAAATCCCTGCTGAGGAAACTGTTCAAAATAATCATAAAAATCTGTGAACCAACATAACCATCAATAATATTTAGCATCTCCTTTCAAAACACTAAAGCTTTACATTAGTTATTTTTATAACTAAGGAACACCAAATTTATCTTCTCCATTTCACAGACAGAAGAATATTATATCTATTTATCCAAGAGTATGTCATAAGATAGTAGATGCTTAGAAATAACAGCTCTCATATTTATCTATATATTTTTTAAACAGATGAAAAATGTCATTTGCATAAGACACAGTGACATAGACCATGTCACTTTTAATATTATATTTTAAAGACTTCTTCTCAAACTAAATCCTGCATTTCTTTTTTTTTTTGCGGTACGCGGGCCTCTCCCGTTGCGGAGCACAGGCTCCGGACACGCAGGCTCAGCGGCCATGGCTCACTGGCCCAGCCGCGCCGCGGCATGTGGGATCTTCCCAGACCGGATCACGAACCCGTGTCTCCTGCATCGGCAGGCGGACTCTCAACCACTGCGCCACCAGGGAAGCCCTGCATTTCATTTTAATGTTTATAACAAAACCAATTCCTAACTACTGCATATATATTTAAATTTAATTTCTGGTCTACTGCTAAAAGCTCACTGAATTCCCCATTCCCTAGGCAGCCTACATTTGGATGACTTGTCCATTTTTTTTTTTTTTTTAATCATTACCTGCATGTTGACATATGATGGCCGTGGGGCAAGGCGGGCCCTTTCATTGTTCTGCTGGGCAGCGGCAGCCCTCTCTGCAGCACGCTCACTCCCTGGAGCCTTCTTGTCAGCCAAAGGGCTTTCTGCAGTACTCAGCTCAGGCTCTGAGAGCAACCTGTCAGTGCTGCTGTGAAAGAGAGTTTGGGATTGAACACTCCACCATTACATACAAATGTAGCACACATTTCCTAGGTGCCACATTGACTATGTAGGTTTACCACTGTCAACCATTTACATGTATTATCTCATTTAATCCTCACGGTACTGCTATGAGGAAGGCAGTCTTATTATCCCTATTTTTCAGATGAGGGGAGTACCTTGTCCAAGGTCATACCTCTGGTAAATGGTAGAGCTGGGATTTGAACCCAGACTTTCTGACTCTAGAGATGGTGCCGAAACTATTTCATGATCTATATTCACACACATTAAATATAGCATGTATGATACACTGTATGCAGTACATATGAAATAGACATACAGACAAGATTTCTCATTTACATACATCAAGGACATATCCCTGACCCATGTTTACACAGTCTAAACAAACTGAGTCAGTCGGAAGGCATGCAGATGATCCAGTTCTTTTGTGTGCAATGTACATGATATTGCTAACAAATCTGCTATGATAAAGGCAGCAGGTAAATATTCTTTAACATCTGTTCAGGGTGCAGGGAAAGAACACGAAAGTGCTTCTTAAAATGGGGGCAATTATCTGAATTGTAAGAATTTATAATGCCCTATACATGCACCTCAAGTTCACATCCAACGGCATGTTAGGCTCAAGTAAAACAGAAATAACAAACAGTATTAGTCAAAGAGCTGATATGCTCACACATTCTTCCTTTTATCATTCACTCTTCAGTTGTACCAGGGGAATTCAGAGGAATTTAGAAAGGACTATTAAAATACAAAAGGAGCAGCAAAGAACTCTGTTTGACAAAAGTTCAGAGAGGCTTCACACAGGCGTGTGACCTGGAATTTAAAGGGCATCTGCAGGTTCGCCATTGTGTAACAGCAACTCAGAGGGAACAGCATAAGCAAAGGAAAGGAAGTGTGCAGTCACTGGTGGTTTCAAAGCCAGAGTGTGACAAAAATTACTGGAACAAAATAAAGGATTGATAGAGCTGATAAGAGACTGGAGACAGGGAGACCATTCCGGAGGTTGCAGCTTAATTCAGATGGAGATAATCAGTTCACACTTACACATTCAGTGAACACATTTAGTGATGAAAGGAACAGGTATATACTTCAAATGCATCAACACAGAGGGAAAACAAAATCATTTCTCTAACCTATAATAAATAATGTTAATTTGGCATATTAGTATCATGTTAAGAAAAACACAAGTAAAGCAGATTTGGACAAAATGGGAACAATGGTAGTTAATCAAAGAGTTTATAAAAGTAAAACAGATTTTGCTTTTTATAAAAGCAAAACAGATTTTGCTGAGAAAAAGACGAAATAAGAATATATATTAACACAACACTGGAAATCAACTATACTTCAATAAAATCAATTTTTTAGTTAAAAATAAATATAT